TTAACTTCCAGTATTAAATTTATATATTTACATTACGTTATAAATACTTACATTCGACAAATTTTTCTTCAATGAGTCAAGTTACCAAAAGTTCGTCACTCCACCATCGGTGGCGCTGAGATAGAAAATTTTCAAATCCTTACTACATACATTGTTAGAGATGTTTGTTGTACTACATACAAAGTTAGGTCGTTGGACGACATGTTTTAACATAACCCGCAAAATTTAAATTAAAAGTTGTTTGCTTTTCACTTATATCCATACTTCAATTGTACTTTACGATAATATGTATGGTTTTTAGTCTATTATTTCTTCTTCATGGTATTATGAAAATAAATTTACGTAAGGATAAAAGCAAAGTAGTTGAAGTGTTTTTTAATTACTTCATTTATATCTTATTATTTCAAACATTAAATATAGGTACATTATTATTTTTATTATATGTGTTGCATTCATTGATTTAATTTATGTTGCTTATTACTGCTTATCTATAGCAGACTCAGAGGTACTGCTTGCACTAGGATAGATCTCATATTTTATCAATCTTTCATTATAACTTGTTGAAGGAACGTTTTCTATTTCTTGCATAAAGCATTTTAAATATGCAAATATACAAATAACATATATAACAACAAACTTCAAGCAAGAATCATATGGGTGTTCCCGAATAACATGGACAAGTAGGTAGGAGATGTTTCCTCATAAAAAATAAGATAAAAAGAATAACATGTCTTCCAATTTTCTACTTTTATATAAAAAAGTATCTCTTATCCACTTATACATGTTATTCCAGAACTCCGACGTATAATAAAGTTATATTTTGTCGAAATTATTTGCGAGGACTTTGCGAGGACTGTATCTTGTTCCACGTCAACGGGAATATTACCATTCTTCTCTTTAATCAAATAATCTGCTCTGCTATCATATATACTTGCTGTTATACTGTAACATCGTCAATTTTTGGAATATAACAATAAATTTTGAAGAATATTTAAAAATTTGTTTTTATTTTTTTTATAACATACCAGATCCACATTCATCCTCGAAACGTATAGAGGATTATAACATCCCCTTTTTCCATGACCAACCACCGGACTTCAAATGTTGTTCATATTTAAAAATCATTGGAATCAATGGTATGTTACCCTCATCTAAATAATTAATTAATTACTTAAATAAATACTTAATAATTTTTTAGGAAAAATGAGAAATATATTGCCAGATTTTACACACGAGAATCTTTGTTATACTTTTCGTTCCTTTCATCATTCTCTTTCTACAAATAGAATCTAAAAACTATAGGTACTACATTCCACTTTAATTTTCGCGAACTGTCTGCTCTTTTATTCCACATACTGGGTTCAAAATAATGTTATAGAATAATAAGTATAAAAAGTATAACTTCAGTTTAATTTAAACAATTTAAACTGATAGAAAATAATCTCGCGTAGATATGTTTCCTCGAGATAACAAAATATGTATCTTGCTTACATAATTAAACTGACTCTTATCTTTTCTGCTTATATTAACAAGATATAATGTATAATAATAATAATCATAATATATATATATATATATATCAATGAAA